ATAGACTCCAAAGGGACACAGGAATTTTAACTGCATGTTAAAGACAAGTTTTCAGAGAGGGGGAATTATATACTAGAGAAAGTATTTCAATTACTATCTTTGGTACAAAACTATATATACATAGTATATGCATAGTATATACTGTAGGTTGAATATGCTTTATCCAAATGCTTGAGACAAGAAGTATTTTAGGACCTTAGTTTTTCTGGGATTTCACAGTGTTTATATAGATTTTACTGGTTAAGCAACCATAATCTAAAAATCCCAAATCCAAATGCTCCAAAATCCTAAACTCTTTGAGCATCATGTTTCTCTCTCTCTCTCTTTCTCTACCCCGCTCCCTTTCAGAAGAATAGTTTATATTCTCTTAACTCTAACTAAACAGAGGGCAGATTACAGATAATTCTGAAAAATATTGAAGAGTAGTTTGGGGGAACATCCAGTGTCCTTTTCTCTCTCCTAGTAGGGAAGATGTCCACAAAAACAAACTTACTGACCATCTAACTTTTCACTGCATGATTTTTTTTTTTTTTTTTTTACTCTGGGCCAGACACAGTGGCACATTCCTATAATCCCAGAAGCTCAAGAGGCTGAGGCAGGGGGATCATGAGTTCAAAGCCAGCCTCGGCAAAAGTGAGGTGCTAAGCAACTCAGTGAGACCCTGTCTCTAAATAAAATATAAAAAGGGTTGGGGATGTGGCTCAGTGGTCGAGTGCCCCTGAGTTCAATTCCCAAATTCTTACTCTGGGAAAACAGCATCTCCATACAATTTATCTTTTTGAATGTATATTCATTTTTAGGTACAATTCATTGCACAATGCTTTTTGAATGAATGTTCATAGAAGAGAAAAATAAAGAAAACTGTATATTCAAGGGCAGGAAACCACTAACATTATCTCTCAAATGGTTTTTGAATCATCTGCATCAGGATCAACTAGCAAGTGCGTTATAGGCAAATTCATGGGCCAGATCCAAGAATTAATCAGAATCTCTGGAGAGAGGGTTCAGCAATCTGCATTTTTCACACATCCTATATGATCCTGGTATATCCTAAACTAAAAATCACTGCTACATTACTGCCAGCTTAGGAAATAAGGTACATCTTTCCTTGAATTTGAGGACTGAGCTGTGAAACCAATGTTTACTAAGGTCTCTTGCCACAGTCACTCTGATTTAAGGAACTGGAGGTGGCAGAAGCAAAGATGAAAAAGACAAACAGTATTTGATTTTATTTGCAGTGCTGGGGATCAAATGACACATGATAGGCAAGCATTCTACCACTGAGCTATACCCCCAGAGCAGAGACAAAATAATTTCCCTTCAAATAAGACCCCAAATTCATATGTAAGAATATGTGGATTATCATGTACAACCATAAGAATGGGAACTTATACTCCATACATGTATAATATGTCAAAATACATTCCTCTGTCATGTAACATAGTTAAAAAGAATAATTTTTTTTTAAAAAGAATATAGGGATTTTTGTACTAAAAATACTAAAATCCTAAAAATAATACTACTACAGATATTAAGAGACAAAAGTACTATCATACTAATGTTTTCAAATGGCATAAGAATTAATAATCATGTTTGACATTTTAGATTTTGATTCCAATTAAAGTGAACAAGAAACAAAAAACAAAACAAAATTCAAAACTTGTGTTCAAGTGCTCTGCTTCTCTGAGAAAAAAAGTAGTTCTTTTAAATTTTTTTCCAGGTAATTATGACAATGCTAATTAGCTTTTTTAATAAAAAGGTGAGAGAAATATTTTTTTCCCCATAACAAGACATCAAATTCCTTCTCTTCTTGCAATTTCCAAGCACTAAGAAGTCACCCACCCTCAATTCATAGGGGGAGGACAGCATGCAGATATGTAAATAGCATTACGGATGTAAGTAATATCCTGCATCATGAAAAGAAGGAAAGTACAAATTAATTTACACATAAAAAGATCAACATGGCTGATTGCTTCATCTGAACCAGAAATCTCTTTTTTTTTTTTAAGTTTTATGGCTACCCAACATTTCAATTATTCATATAAGACATTTTATAGCACTCATTTACGCACTAGGCATGAATCATCATAATGTCCACATATTATAAATACAATAAAATCTCAAACCAAAACAACAACCATCTTCTCCTCTCCCCCCAAAATTCTCCAATGCTAAAAATTCAGTCAACTATCACCCTTAATGCTCAAGGTTTAATGCTAACTTCAAAACAACTTAAAACATGGCTGACAAATATATACCTAAGCAAAGTAGATAATCAGAACCACACTCTAAGTGTCACTGTACCCCTCTCCTTCTACTACCTATCCATCTTCCTCACTTATTTAGACATAAACCCCAGAATGACAACTAAGAGGGAATCGGGGTGTAGCCCTGTGATATAGAATGTGCTTAGCATGCACGAGGCCCTGAGTTTAATCCCCAGCACCAAAAAAAAAAAAAAAAAAGGAAAAAGAGAAGAAAGTTAATAAAGCTGCTGAAGAGATTGCTTCTTTAAGAATTTTTTCATGCCTGACTTTGTGGCTTACAACCTGTAATCACAGCAGCTCAGGAGGCTAAAACACAAAGATCACAAATTTAAAGCTAACCTGGGCAATTCAGTGAGACTCTGTCTCAAAATAAAATTACAAAAGAAAACAGCTATGGATGTAGCTCAGTGGTAGAGCATTTGCCTAGCATGCACAAGGCCCAGTACTGCAAAGAAAAAAACAAAACAAAACCATAAAACAAAACCCAAGAATTTTCACAAACCCATTATTTCCCAAATAAACTTTATTTTGAAAAAAATACTACAACATAGTCATATAAACTTAAATATGACACACAGAACAGTAACAGTGAGTCAAATTATATACATGTGAAGTCACAGTTCATGTCAGATCATTCCTACTAATGGAAGGGTACAAAGGTACAGCTAAACCAAAAATGCAGACAACTTAAACACAACCACAATATATGTATAAGTTTTCATTTTGTACTTAAGTACAAATGTTTAGATGAGACTTGATAAAAATTCACACAAGATAAAAAAAATATGCTTCCCAAATAATCAAAATTTATTTTACTTTTCTCACTGTCACATAGATGACATCAGTAATGTCTATACAAAGTAGCACCACGGGTCAAGCTACTTTCCTTTGTGATTCAACATGATGCTTTCTGTATCTTGACTTAGAACCTCTCCAGGTGCAGGAAAATGGAGTAATGACTTAATAATTTTCAAGATAGAAGTGATTTATTCAGAGAAAGGTGTTGTAGTATATAGCCTTCTAAGAATTCCATGTGTTATTGAGAAAAATATCAATATGTAATCAGTGAAAGCAGCATATATATAATTGTTCATAATTCTTTTAAAAAGTGGAAGTAAATAGGAATAAAAGAACGAAGGTAACATAACATCTGGAACCTCTCACTGTTTGGGGTATCTGAGGCAATTCAGAGCCAATCCCGAGATTTTCTATGAAGTCAGGGCCATTCCTGAATCATGGGGAAAATTCTAATTCTCCAGAAACAACCAGGGAACAGTTTCAAAGGATAAGGACCCTAGCTACAATGGATTCAAACAGATTTACCCAGTCTTTCATTAGTAGAGGGCAGCAGAAAGACACTGAACTTAGGGACTGTAAACTGGTTCTACATGTTAACTGTTGACCTTGGACATAATAATCCATCTCTTGGAATGACGGTTTTCTCATCTCTAAGTAGAAACTGTAAGATCCAGCTTATTGCATAGACTTCAGAGCAATGAGAATCAAAGACAATATAATGCACTTGATGGGAGGGGAGTAAAATTTAGTGGCAGAGAGTTTGCCTCAAGTGTGCGTCGCCCTGGGTTCTACACCCAGCAGCACACACACAAACTAATAACAATAATGCACCTGATGATTTTGTAAATTATAAGGGACTATTCCTAGTAAATGAAGATCTGGGGACTTCTTTCTTAAATATTAAGGATAAAAGTCAATTTGAGATAATATTATAAAAATCATTACTTTTTAAAACCAGGACAGGTGTCTATTCAATAGTAGCTGCTAAACGTCTACCTCACTTTTTGATGAGTCATAAATGCGAAAAATTTGTTGGCTTATTAATTTATCTTATAATACAACATTATTATGCAATAATCTACTTGTTGTAAACTGTATTCATTAAAGAACCAGGAGAGTAATCTGCTAGGCTTAAAAAGTAAACATTGGATATAATACAAACTTTTTACCACAACTACAATAATTTGATATTTCATTATAAATAAAGAAACATATAAATGATTTGTCCATTTATCTTAACCGGCCATTAGTCATGAGGAATCCAACTCCATGAAGCCTAAGTCTTAGGCAGAATATTCCAATGCACATCTGCTCCTAGTTCCCAACTCTTACTTCAGCATTGCACACCTCCTTAGTAAAACAGTAGCTGTCAACAAATAAAAGTCCACCCTTTTCATTCTGTCCTCAAGCAGAGATTCAGAGGCAGTCAAAGACAAACTCTTTCATTATAACCTGTAAAGGGCAAGCCCTGGGCTATTGCAAAAGGTTTTTCAAATATGTCAGTATCTAACTTTGAGAAAATAGAGGGAAGCAAAAATGAAGGGGGCTAATTTATGCTATAGCCTGGTCTCATGCTGTGCCATGTTCCCAGTTACAATATTTTCAAATTGCAACAAAACAAGTAAAAGAAGGCTTCATATGTGAAAGCAGAAAATGGCCCAGAAGTCTTCTATTCAAAGACAAATTAGTTGTTTTTTCCCCAATAACTTACCCCAAAGAAACGAGTACTTGGAAACCCTGAGGGGTTCTTTAAATCATAGCCAGAAAAATTATATATATATATATATATGTGTGTGTGTGTGTGTGTGTGTGTATACATATATATACACACACACACACACACACAAAGAACAGAATGATGTTAAAAAATAAGTCTTTAAGGACAACAGCCTTCTCTTTAAAGATGAATGTTCTATAACATTGGCAGACATATCTCTACAACTCATCATGTGTATATGTAAATTCTCTGGCAGATATAAATCCATCTTTGTCTTCATCTTCTTTATCAAAAATATCCTCCACCAAAACATCATGATGACTCTCATTCACCACTGCACCATGCTTTTCAAACTCTTTCTTTAAATACACTTTAACCTACAAAATAAAAAATCTCATTAACAACTTTGATTAAGAAGATACCACACTGTTAATCAATATCATAGACATTGACTGGTAGTTCATTTAAATAATATATAAAGTGCCAATTTCTTTATGCTTTATTGCACTAGTAAGAGAATTATAAGAGTTTTTACCCCTTAAAAACTGTTGTTATACTACCATGGTAGAGACACAAAATATTGCTGAGGCAAAGATAAGCTTACACATATAAATCTTACATCAAATGGTAGGTTTTTATTATCTCAAACACACACCATGAACACACAGTACCTACTTTTTTGTTTGCTTGTGTCAGACGTAGAACTCACTTTTATTCTTGTAATTTTACACTTGAAAGTTGACATTCAATCTCATAATCCACAGTTAGCAACTAATTTATAAACATTTTTTATTTGTTGTTTTTAAATATACCTAACAGTGGAGTGCATTTTGACGTATTATATATACATAGAGTACAACCCATTCCAATTAAGATCCCATTTTTGTGGTTGTACATAATGTGGAGTTACACTGGTTACGTATTCATACATAAGCAAAGGGAAGTTTTGTCTGATTCATTCTACTGTCTTTCCTATTCCGTTCCCCTCTCCCTTTCCTTCATTCCTTTTTTTGTCTAATCCAGTGAACTTCTATTATTCCTTCCCTACCCTCCCTTGTTGTTGGTTAGTTAACATCTACATACCAGAGAGAACATTCAGGCATTGGTTTTTTGGACTGGCTTATTTCACCTAGCATGATATTCTCCAGTTTCATCCCTTTACCAGCAAATATCATAATTTCATTCTTCTTTATGACTAATATTCCATTATAAACATTTTTTAATCCTTAAACTGTACATTAAGATCCTCTGACCCTAAATTTATCACTCTCCTTCACATCTGAAGAAAATTATTAATTTATTAAGTTCCACACATAGTCCCATTGACATACATTTAATACTGAAGTCCTATACTCACAGTATAATTAAGAATCATTAGTATCAAACTAGCCTGAAACCTGATTGTGTTCCTGGATCAGGGTACCTGTAGTAAATCCATAAATCCAAATTAAGACACGAAATTAAACTAGGGTGTATAAAACTTATTAAAAATATTTCTAGGCGGATGCAGTGGCACATGCCTGTAATCCCAGCAGCTCAGGAGGCTGAGGTCGGAGGATCTTGAGTTCAAAGCCAGCCTCAGCAAAAGTGAGGTACTAAGCAACTCAGTGAGACCCTTTCTCTAAATAAAATACAAAATAGGGCTGGGGATGTGGCTCAGTGGTCAAATGCCCCTGAGTTCAATCCCTGGTACCAAAATAATAATAATAATAATAATAATAATAATAATAATAATAATAATAACAACAACAACAACAACAATAATAATAATAATAATTATTATTATTATTATAAGCAGAGTAAAAATTAACATTAAAATCTTATTAAATTTGGGGGGTTAGGATATAGTTCAGTGGTAGCACATTTCCTTAGCATACACAAGGCCTCCTTGTGTATGCTCCACAAAAACAAAACAATTATTAAACTTCAGCCTTATAATATTTTATTCAATGAAGCTTTCAAAATACCTCAATTAATTGGGAAGAATAATACGTAGTAATTTTTTTGTCTAGCACTTAAAAATGGTTATGAAATTACTATCACTTTTTAAACATCAAAGTATGCTATAGATATTTTACTTTTCTGCTAGACTTGGCTAATATCTTCTATGGAAAAACACCAAAACTATTGAGTAAAATATACTTTTAACTCAAGAGGTACTTGATTAACTTTCCTGAATTTATCAGTATCATTACCAAAATCTTCTAGGATTTATTTTTGTTTGTTTATTTTTAGTTCTGGGGAATAAAGCCAGGGTCCCACACATGCTGGGCAAGTGCCCTACCACTGACCTACATTCCCCATTTCTCTTTCAGGAATTTTTAAGATTTGATTCCATAATTATAGTTCTAGTTTACAAAACTGTAATTTTATAGTTCAACTTATGAAAAGGAAAAAATGTGCTCATAATCAACTTCTTATGTATTTTTTTTGGTCCCTCAATAATCAAAGGAGATTCTAAACAAATTATGCTACATGTTTCCTGACTTAATATAAAAAGCTACACTTTCCATTATCCAAACTAAGAAATATTATAGAAATGAAAAATTATTCATTCTGAAGTGTCCATGTATGTCTGTTGGTAGGTCTGCCTAGAATCTTTCCAAATTTTTATATCAAGAGATTTTAATCAACTATATACTAGAATCAAACTAAATAAGGAAAAACTTATATTTTGCAAAAATAGGGCTAGAAGTGTTATCTTGGTTATAGAGCACTTGCCTAGTATGCATGAGGCCCTGGGCTGGATGCCCAGCACTGCAAAATAAAATATAAATAATTAAGTTAAACCATTTCCCAATATGTTTGATAAAAGTAAGCTACTCATTTTCATTTGTATTCCACTGAAGACACTACTGATCAATCCAGTTTTTTTTTTTTTTTCTATGCAGTCAACCATGGAATTCTTTAGCATGGTTGGGATGTGTACTTGCCATTCTTATTTGTTTGTGTATTTATTTGTTTGTTTGTTTTGGTGCTAGGGAGTGAACCCAGGGCCTTTTACATGCTAAACATATGCTCTGCCCCTGAGGTCTGCCCCCAGTTCCAAAATTATTTTTTTCATTTTGGTGTGTGATACTGAGGATTGAACCCAAAGCCTTGGAAAATGCCAGACAAGCTTTCTACCACTGAACTACATTCCCAGCCCTTTTTATTTTTTATTTGAGACAGGATCTCACTATGTTACCCAGGCTAGCTTTAAGTTTGAGATCCTCCTGTCTCAAATTCAAGATCCTTCTGCCTCAGCCTTCCTGAGTAACTGAGATTACAAGTATATACAATCAAACCTAGCTCCCAGAATGTTTTAAGATTGACAATGGCTAGAGTGATGACTTCTGTTTGGACCCTGCTCTCCTTTACTGTTTGGAAGTAGTTTTGGTACTAAGAATAGCTGTCTAGTTGCCAGTTCTTTTCTCACATCAAATTCTTCCGCTGCTCATATGGCTTTAAAATAATCCTGATTAGCTAGGTGCAGTGGCACATGCCTGTAATTCCAGCAACTCTGGAGGCTGAGGCAGGAGGATCACAAGTTCAAGGCTGGCCTGGGAAACTTAATAAGAACCTGTTTCAAAATAAAAAGGGCTAGGATGAAGCTCCATGGTTGAGTACACCTTGGTTTAATTCCCAATGCAAAACAAACAAAAAAAGGAATAATCCATTGGTTCTAAAAGACAGAATTTACATTCTAATGTATGATTCATTCTATGAAGAGATTTCTTTGGAAAGGCATATGAAAATCTGATTTTTAATACAGAAGTAGCAGCAAAAATTAATCTTGTGTGTAAGACTACTCCAAATTACTCTCAGTGCCAAAAACATACACGTGGAAGCCTTTAATACAGGATCTACACTTCTTAGAGAATATCTTGCACAGAACCTCTTAAAACAGAGCATGGCAGTGGGGATAACTTGTTTTCTTAATTTAAGATGTTTACCTATTGCTTGCATAACATGTGTAAAAAATATTTGTAATTTCCAATATTCCTCTGAGAAGACCTTTTTGCATTCCTTCAACAGATGGTGTTTATTCAAAATCCACTGCAAAAATAGGAGCTCTGCTAAAAGGTACCTGCTGAGGAGTGGCCTGCAGAGTGACCATAGACCCAGCCTGACCAGTAACGCTGCTACTCTACCAGCTTGGCTTGGTGACCGATCCATAGTGCCTGTTGTTAATCTGAATCTAAATAAAGCTGAGCATTTGGAAGACAGATGTCTTTCGATCCATTGAATGAACTAGATCTTCTTTTCTATCAAGAGTCAGAAGTCCAGACACTCCTAAAAGCAGATTAATTGTGGCTCTGGTAAAATACTTGAATAAATGTCTAAGAATAGAAGAAATATGCAATACTGACTGAGCCTTATCCTGAAATTCCAGTCTCAAAAATTAGAGTAAAGTCCAATCTGATAAATGCCTAGACTATAAAAATTTTTTATTTTCATTAAGATGTTTAAAAATATAAACAAAACACTGCTCCCCATTCCTCATCAGATTCACCACAATGCAATTCAACCTGTATTGTCATTTTTAATAATATACACTCTGTCTATATAGTTTCAATTCCTTCTCCCCCGACCCCCAACATGCAAACATATGTTGCACATTTAAGTGGTTTAAAATAGTTTAAAATAAAGAAAAAAGGATGATGAAACTCTATGGATTAATGTAGATGCTCTCTCTATATATGAATAAAGCAAGTTGAACAATATGTATAATGTGCTACCTTTGTTGGAGGAAAAAGGAAAATAAGAACATGCATTCACATAAAGAAACACTGGAAGGACACACTAGAAATCAATGAAATTGGATGTTGTGGGGACTCACAGGGAAGAAAAGGTCATGGGTAGGGAAAGATTTCTTATTTACTAATTTATATTGGGTTGATTTTTTAAAATTTTTTTTTAAAAATTCTTTTTGGTTATAGATGAACACAATATCCTTATTTTATTTATTTTATTTTTATGCGGTGCTACACATGGAACCCAGTGCCTCGCACATGCTAGGCAAGCACTCTACCACTGAGCTGCAGCCACAGCCCACTTGGGTTGATTTTTAAACCATGTGAATGTGTTGTATATTCAAAATTTTTAATGAAAAGAAATTGTAATTTATCTTGGATTAAAAAAAGAGGATTGGGGGCTGGGGTTGTGGCTCAGTGGTAGCATGCTTGCCTAGCACATGTGAAGCACTAAGTTCGAACCTCAGCACCATATAAAAATAAATAAATAAATAAAGATACTGTGTCCAACTACAACTAAAAAAAGAAAAAAACACATATATATGTATGTATGTGTATATGTATATGTATGTATGTGTATATATATATGTATATATATATATATACACACACATATATATCTCTATATATATGTATATATAGATATATAAAGGGCATATAAATGGTAACATTATGAGTGTGATAAATTTAGTGGGTGCTGATCATGACCCCAGGGTTCTTAAAAAATTGACTTATTTGAGACTTAATCATTTCCTGGCCATTAGAATAAAATTGACCAAAGCATTAAAAAAAGACTTGACATCTGACCAGCCAGGCCAGCATAGAGAGTGTAAGTAGGTAAAAACCCAAACCAAAAATAACATAGAGATAAATATCCACCTCTACTTATTCTTCCACAGCAGCCAGGCTAAGACAGTATGATCAGTGATGACTGAAAAAGCCTGAGGTACAGAGAGAAGCCCTTCCTCCTACCCAAATACTGTGGGACTGGGGGTAGCTGAGGAAGGTCCCCTACTGGGGAGAACCCATCTCCTTTCTCCAGGTGTGAAGCTGAACAAAACTAGACATACAAGTTGCTTGCCGCTAATCTCAAGGAAATGACTACCAAATGCATTTAACAGCCAGTCTGCAGTTTTAAACAGAAACTGTTCACATGAAATACTTTTCAGAACATCTGTTTCTTATGCAGTAACTACAAATGGGAACTGTGTTACCAGTTTTCAAAGACTCAAGGTGAGAACAAGACACAGTGAATTCCAAGCACCAAAGAGAAAGAAAAAAAGCAAAAGACTGAATGGTGTTTATTTTTCTTTTTGTAGGAGTGTGAATGGAACATGGGCCCTCCAGCCTCTACCCCTGAGCTACATTCCTAGTGCTCAATGGTGCTTTTTAAGTCTCAATATATTTCTTCCAAAACAATGATTTTCCATGAAAAAGCAAACTTTCACAGCATGAATATTTTAAGAAAACTTATAAATAAAAATTTTCCTGAATAAAAATAAATTTTCTTTAAAAATATATTTACAAAAAACTGAACCACGAAAACAAACAAACAAACAACAAGTAGGAATGTAGGCAGAAGGAAGGGTCACCTCTTGTTTAGAGAGTTTCCAGTCATCGTTGAGATCCATTTCTTGGAATGATTCATGTGATCTTGGTCCATTTCGAATTTCTAAGAGATCTATGTTGAATATCAATGTACTCTCTGGGGGAATTTTACCTGTCATTACAAAAGAGGTAGGAAGATTTTATTTAAAATATACAAAAGTTTTAATAACAGAAAACTTATGGTACTGGTCAAATTTTATTTATTTATTTATTTATTATTTTTTTATTGGTTGCTCAAAACATTACAATGCTCTTGACATATCATATTTCATACATTTGATTCAAGTGGTACTTATGGTACTGGTCAAAATATTTTTTAACTGATTAAAATGGAAAGCCAACCTACGATTATCACATATAATGAAGACAATTGTACTCTAGTTAGATTTCACTCAAATAGAATAGAGTAAGGAAGGAATAATCAAAACAAGTACAGCAAAAGTATCTTATTTTTGGCTTGGCAATTAAAAGGAAAAAAAAAAACATAGACACACACACACACACACACACACACACACACACCCAATAACCTGGATACTAAATTTAAAGCATAACTAAGATATTATGTATTATATGTCAAGAATGACTTAAAGGGTCTTAGAAAATTCAGAGTTAATTATATTACAATTGATTTACTAACTTTCAGGTAAGAAAGACCTGACATACAAATTCATACTATGGTCTATCATTTCTATCACTGGGAGACAGTTTAAAATTGAGTGAGCCTGGGTGTCATACTGTGTGGAATTGAAGTTTACATTAGCTCATCTCTAAGCCTCAGTTCTTACATTTGTAAAATACAGATGATAATAGGAGTCTGTTGGGAAGATGAAGGGAGAAAATCCATACAATAAAATAAAATATTCACCAATGTGCTTGATAAATAGTAAGTTCTCAATGTACATTACTGAGATATAATTTTTTAACAACCTTTACAAAGAATGCAGGAAAATTCATAATTCTCAAAAAGTTAGGAAACACCTCTTCTGATATAGAACATCACACAAAAATTGCAGATATGTTGAAGAAATTAAAATGAACTTCTGAGAAGGTGATAACAGATCTTTAAATGTGAAAAGAGCTTTGTTAAAGTCCCAGGGTACTGAAAAGCAACATTAAACCCTTTTGGGAAGCAGGGACAATTGATGTTTGAAACTTATTTACTCTTAACTATATTTAATATAAAGGTTTGGGTCAACTTGTTACATGTTTCTTAGTTGTCCCCCCACCCTTGTATTTCCATAAAAGAGCATTTGCAAGTTTTAAAGGGACAACACTTACACTGTTATCATTCCAGCTTACCTTTCCAGCTGGAAACAGAGAAGGGACATGCATTACTAGATCGGTGAGAAAACCGGTATCTTTCCAAGGAGGCATGCAAGCAAGTACTAAAAGACTAAAAATTAGTGTTAAATTCATATTAGGGGAATTAGTTTCATGGCAATAAGTTTGAAGATGACTCAAATTTAGATCTCTACATGTTATAAAGTAAAATGAGTTAATACAGTATGGAGAAAGACTAATAGATTAATTCAACATATATAAATATTTAAGTTGAGACAATAAAGACACAGGATAGTGAAAAAAAAATACTTTCAAGCTTTAGAGAAACGTTTCCTAGATATTCAATTTTCTTCTCTGAAGAGGGCTATAATTAAAATAAGAACTGAGTTTGGCTAGTAAATCCTATTCTATGAGTACAACTTCTACTTTAGAATATGTTATGATTCATATAAAGCACCTAGTTTCCTTCTCAGGACACTGGGGATAGAGACCTTGATCCATACTTTGTTAAACTTAGACCTAAGGACCTAAGAAATCTATATCATATCAGAGTGGTTCTCTATCTGGTTCTGAGATCTACTTAACTTTTTTTCTTTATTATATAGTTAATACTTGCTCATTGTAGAGAACTTGGAAGAGAGAACCAGAAGTAAATATAATTCCCAGTATCACAGTCCATTGTTAACATTCTTATTTATTTTCTTATAATTCTCTTTCTCTGTGTACATAGTTTTTCCTATACTTATTACCATAGTATACATATTATAAGTTTTCTACTTTTATATTATACATGTTGATCTAATTTTTAAAAAATCTTGGAAAATGCTAGTTTTTAGGAACTGGGGTACATTTATTTTTGCTGAAGTCTTATCATTACATACTTAGGCTGTTTCTAATTTTTTGGTAGCAGTGATGAATACCCCTCTCTTGACAAATCTTTTAATATCTGATTATCCCCTCAGATCACATTCCAAACAAGGGAATTATAGCACTAACACACCAAACATCTAAAGGCAGCTTGGTAAAATCACCAAGTAGCCTTTAGAAATTGCATGGGTTGGGCTAGGGTGGTGGCTCAGTGGCAGAGCGCTTGCCTGGCATGTATGAGGCACTGGGTTTGATTCTTAACACCACATATAAATAAATGAATAAAATAAAGGTCCATCAACATCTAAAAAATAAAAATAAAAAAAAAAAGAAAGAAATTGCATGGGTTCCCACTTGAACACCAGGTATATGTATCTACCCTGGAACAAACTGGTAAGAAGGTTCTTTGGCCCAGTCAGCTGGCTTGCTTCTGCTTTGCGACAGAGAATTAATTCATTTCAAGTTACACCATTATTTTTAAATAAATTAATGAAACTTTATAAATATATTTTAAAATGAGAATAAAAAGAACCCCTAATAAGAGCTGTGCTGTGGGAGACTTGGTGGTTGTAAGCCACATACAGCCCACATGTCAAACCATAACCAGTATCTTCATAATCTATATTTCAAATGTTAGACTCATCAAAACACTTACGTTGAGTGATATTTCTTTTTTCAATGTTAAACAAATTGGTGAGTTTTGGTTTGGGAGGGTGAAAAAGTTCAGGAGACACATGGCAATGATATTTGCACAATGATGTGAATGCCATTGAACTCTGTACTTAAATATGGTTCAAATAATAAATGTATATTATACAAAATTTTAAAAATTACCATATTGGTGGTTTACTATTAGTATTAATAGAGTTCAAGGTTTCAGAACCTCATTTCATTGTTAGCTCAGTTTTTCATTTTGTTGTTATGGCCTTAATTGGCCATTTTAAGTGATTATCAAGAAATAATCATATTTCCTAAAGGAATGTAGATAGCCCTCGATTTTTTTCTAGGGAAAAGAAAAAAACACATAGTAGTTACTCTAACTTCTGCCTCTGAATTCAGAGAAGAACTCTAGTGCTATAGTAAATAAAATAAAAATGTGATTACCTTTTCCTTCTTTTCCATATCCCAGGGCAGGAGGAATAATGAGCTTTCTCTTCTCTCCTACGCACATTCCCTTCAAGCCCTGGTCCCAGCCTTTGAGAGCCTCCAGGATGCCCAAGGTAAACCAAATGGGCTGACCATTGTTATGTTTATGACTATGAGAGAAAGAAAACATATTAGAATTTTTTCCCCCTAGTTCTGGGGACTGAACCCAGGACCTCATGCATACAGGCAAGCGCTCTATACATTAGAACCAGTTAGGAACTTTAAAAAAAATATATGGTTCATTTAGTCCAACCAAGCATCAGAAATTAATAAAAACAGCTATTGTATTTTTTTAACTTTATTTTATTTATTATGTGGTGCTGAGAATCAAACCCAGTGCCTCACATAGGCTAGACAAGCACTCTACTGCTGAGCCACAACCCCAACCCTAAAACAGCTATTCTTTTTTTGCCTACACACACCCCTGACTTCATAGTAATTCAATCCATTACCTATCTTTCTTGATGAAAATTTGATAAGAGTTGACTCAGCTGGAGAAGGGTGGAGGGAATAATAATAATGAACAACTGTTTGTACATTTACTGTGTACCAGGTTTTATTCTAAATTTGCCTCTTTTAACTCTAACAATGATCCTATAATTGGTTGGTACCTTTGGGGGACTGCTTCCAGAACCTATCCCTCTATCCCCAGCCTCCCAATGCCAAAAGATGCTCAAGTGTGTAGTTTTTGCATATAACCTACTGTATATGTTAACTCATCTCTAGAGTACCTGTAATACCTAATACAAACATAGTGCTATGTAAATAGTTGTTATACTATATTGTTTAGGTAATAATGACAAGATAAAAACTCTGAACATGTTCAATACAGACATACTCTTTTTCAAATATTTTTGATCCATGATTGGGAATGCATGAACCTGTAGACAGGGCCAACTGTACCATATAACCCCCTTGTATAAAGGAGGAAATGGAGGTTAAGTGTGCTGTATTTGACCTTAAATATTCCTAACTCTGAAGATTAAGATCTTAGGCACAAAGTTATGCTGTCCCAGGAAGACCACTTAGGTTGCAGACCAGGAAGAAAATAATGGAAAATAGTTGCAATGGGGAAGGAGGATGAGAGCCTAAGGAGATATACAGCCTGCTCATGGTTCTGATGGGTGGGAAAGTATGTTCTTCATCCCTGAGTCACCACTCACATAAAGCCTAATTTTTTCCCGAAAAGTCTATGTGGGGATTTGTAGGGGAGCCAGGAATAGAGGCTCTTCAAGCTCCAGAGAGAAAGGAAATAGTTAGGATATTCTGCTACATGAATTATCAGAGAGGCCAGCATAAGAAAATCAACCTGCTAAGCTCCTGGGGACCTCAAGGGCTAAGTAGGTCTCAGTCCCAAATAGCTCCCTTTTAGTAAAATAAATAAACTGCTGTATTCAAAGATAATCTCATAGATGAGAATAATAAGTCATTCTATTAGGTTTGTGGGTACCATGCTTACAAAATCTTGGTAAATGATACTTTTTTCCTCTTTTCTTTTCTGATCAAAGAAACAAAATACCAACCTTAGAAAATCTGGTAAGGCCAGGAAAAGAATAAAGAAGAAGGAAACAATCTTTTATCCAACATTAACTACATTTGGGCACATTTCTTCATAAGGCTAAGCTATTTACCATATAGACTGTGATTCTAGAAACAGCACATATGCTTTATAGGTTAATCATTTCATAACAGAGTTAGCATCTTCTGACCATTTATGTGTAGCCTGCAAGACAACAATCCCCTCATAAGGTACTAGAACAGTAATAGTAAACTGCTAAATAATATCTCATGACTACCACAAAAATCACTACCAGTTTTTGGTCCTACAACCTGAAAGAAATTAGCCTAGGTGTAAAAAAATTAGACTAGAAATAAGAATGTAACTTAAGGCTGCCTCCACCACCACAGGGACAGGATGTGAGCCATTGGGGTCCCCAGTGTGAGCGAGCTGGTGAGAGAGGCCAGCAACTGCTAGCACAGCACAGTGGGGAAGCATGGTGGCCACCAAGTATTTCTGATGACTAACCTCATATAGACATACTTTTAGAATCCAACAAGACATAGCAAAATCCAGTCCGAGTAGATGAGAAAGCCAGGAATAAAGAGAAAGTAAGACAGAAGCCAGGACCAAGGTGGTTCTAACCAAGAGAGCAGATCCAGTTGAGCTTAGAACAATATTTTTGAAGACATGGATCCCTGTGAAGCAGCCTCAGCAGGAATAATACTCAAGCACACTAGATATCATACAAGCTCATTTTCTTGGTTTCTTATTTCTACTTACTTGGTGGTATTGGGCAGTGAATGATTCTATAATAAAAGTCTCCTTCAGGTCAGCACATTTACCTTATTGAACTGAAATTAAAATACTCCCAAAAGGAAAGGCCACTTTTGAAAAGGTAATAAAAGCAAAATACGTAGACTTTTCTAAATATTGTTAAAAGGCACCCATGCTGACTGGAATAGGGAGTTCAGGTATCAAGTTGAGACCTTGATGTGTACTGATATGGGTTAGAAGGTTATTAATTCTGTCAGCCTCCCTTTTCTCATCAAAATGTGTCAGTATTAAAAAGAAAACTGAGGGCTGGAGATAGAGCCCTTGTCTGACATGTGCAAGGGCCAGGGTTTGATCCTCAGCACTGCAAAAACAAAATGGAACACCAAGAATAAAAAAGATGGAGACATAAGGGAACTCAAATACTGACAGGATATTTGATACTAAGGTATTGTCATTAATTGATTTTTAAGCTGAATACTGATATTCTGATTCTGAGAAATATACAGAGTCTATCAGAGATAGACACTGAAGCATTTACAGATGAGATCATGATGTCCGAAATTTTTTTTTTAAATAATCAAATTTTGGTGGAGTGGGGAGAATGAATGGACAGTATGATAATTTTTGAAATTGGAAAGTGGAATATTGGGTTTAATATACTGTTCTTTGTACTTTGCATATGTTGGAACATTTTCTAATAAAAAGTCACAAAACCTAGAAAAGGGTTTTTATGTAAGACTTTTATAACTTAAAATTTAAAATGCAATCTCACAATATCTGTTTGGAACTTTTTATCTGAGGTAACAGGATGTATACAAGAGTGACATTCAATTTTCCCAAGCCCTACACAAGAGCGCATCTGAATGCCCAGTAAAGGCAGGATATCGAAAAATGGGTCTAGGATGGGCCATGAAGCTTCATTGAATGTTTTGTACTCTCCCTCATTGAGTCATTTGTCTTCCTCTCCTTTGTATATGATGTACTACTGGAGGACAAGAACCTGCTTCTAGTGATCTCTGCATCTCCAGGACCTGACTTATGGCTATTCAATGAGTTTGACAGATGGATAAATGAATAGATGGGTGAAGTCAAATTTTCAGCATCTTCTTAATCTCCAGTAAAGGGCCTAACACGAAGGAAATGCTCACTTAACGCTTTGGGAATGAAATGAATGGAAACAATGCCTGATTGGAAATCATTACACTTGTAAACCTGTTCCATGTTGCAATTTCTTTGTTTATGGAACAGAAATGACAGTATAACCACCTGAAAATCTTTCTTGTAAGACTTTTATAATTACACCTGCTCCATCACTAAAATCTGATTTTCAGAAGCAAGACTAATGAAATCATGGTCTGTGCATTGACTAAAATGTTATCAATCAAAACAAAAGTTAAATAGGTCAATGAAATAGCATTAGTATGTTTTATAAACAGGCAAATAAACAACTGTGTATTTGGCTCTTAAAGTTGCTATGAAAAGTTTTAAGTAAATATCACCTACACCAGATTAAAAATGGAATTAATTCATTTTCCCTAAGAAACAGAGTTTGAGTCATGAAAATTCTTTTAAGCCTAAATACACCCCTGGATATTTCTGCAAAATTTCAGATTCTAGTTATGATTTTTATAATAGAAAGTTAACAGTTTTATGGAGAGCACATGTTCCCAATAAGTCCTTCAAAGGCCTCATGATACAGAATTGGCTTTAGACAATTTTTTTCCCCCAAAGAAGGGAATTAGATATTTCAGTTTTTTGAAAAGAGAAGTAGAACCAACTATATCCAACCTTTCTGGCAGGACAGCTGGCGTAGGCGGGTGGGTTCTTTATTAATTTACCTGCGAGGCATAATTACTTACGTGGAGTGAAATAAGGTGCCGTCCTTTTCTAAGTAACCCTCATAGTGCACCAACATCAAATCCCCTCCTTTCGTTTTGCGATGGCAGATGAACGGCTTCTGGAGAATTTCAATTTTCACTTCTGGCTCAGGGATCAGAGCCCCACTCAAAGAGGGGACTAACAGCGTCAAGACCGCATTCCACAAGAATAACCTCATGTTGTTGGAGCTGGAAAGAAGTCCCTACGAAAACAGAGAAAGGGCCCCTGACTTCATAGAGTTAAAATTTAGCTGAAGAATTAGGGCCGAGGACCTCTGGCAAGTTGAGGACTCCCCCCCTCTTCGGAGACGTGGCACTTCTACTACCAGCAACTTTCCCACGCACAGCAAACTCACCTTAAAGAGTTAAACCCAAGCGGGACCTGACTGGTTCTTACATTGTGGCCCTTGGGAAGAGCGGTCTTCCATTGGCTAGTGGTGCTGTCCCTCAAGCGCCTCGCAAGCCAATGATAATGCAACTATGTAATTTACAGTTTGGTTGAATCTTCCTGAGTGATCCTAGAACCTGGAGAATCCAAGAATTTCTTTATCCCGGACTTTGGGAGAGAGGTTTCGCGCCGCGGAGCTAACCCGAGGAGGTAATATTTACCTCTGTAAAGTACTCCTGCTGAGCGAGGTAGGAGGCGTCTGGGGCCAGGTGACACTATAGGGGTTTCTGGAAAGACTCATTTACTCTCGCCAAAGGAGAGCGGCCCCTCAAGATTCCAACAATCCAAGTTTACTGTGTAAATGTAAAGACAAGGTCCTTGAGGCTTTATAAAGCGCATTCCCGGTGCGTGACTCTTATTGCGACCAGCAAGACAAGTTCTTTTTTCCTTACTTGGAGATAAATTTAGGCTAGGAAAGGTTATCTGTCCTGCTTAAAGTCACTAGATTGCAGAACATTTGAGCTCCGCCTTCAAACTGGATCTAATTCTTTCCAAACACCGCGTAAAAGTTATGGTTGGTAATAATTTGTCACGTAAGTGCTTTTAGTGTAGACGGCAAATAACACATAAGGACGTGCAGGCTCAGGCTTTAAAGAAGAAATACTAATCAGGGTTAGGAATCACACACCCTCCTCTTAGTTTAAATATTCTAGTTCTACATAATTCGGTTGCTTTCAAACGCAATTCATGTTCACTGTAGTCAATTTAGAAGAAACTGTAAAGTACGAAAGTAGGATTTTCAGATGAAGTACAGGAGACGAATATTTGAATTTCAGATAAATAACCAAAAATTTTGTGTATTTTTATTTACTAAGTCTGGCAACTTCACGCTAAGGGAAAAGAATCTTCCACAATTAGTCACTGTAACTTTTTCGTGCATGCTTCTGTGACATTATAATTAAAGCAACTTGGATAATATTGTACACATTTTCTCCTTCCACTTGGTCTATGATTAACATTTTTCCTGATCAAACATTCTTAGAACCGTGCCTTTTCACACCTTTGTGTACTAAGAATTCCCCCAGGGAGAGCTTGTTGAAATGCAGATTTTGTTTCAGAACGTCTAGGTTTGGGGGTGAGATTATGCATTTCTAAGAAGTTGCTAGGGTGTCAAGCCAAAGGTACAAGGGACCACACTTTGGCACCTATTTATACTGGCCTCAAACTCAGTATTCTGTCCTGAAATTCCCAAATTCTTGGCCCGGGAACGAGGTCAGTTCGCCCTATTTTTGGGCACCCCAAGTAGGTGGAATCAATCAGACAACCTTGAAGTTAAGAAGTGAACCCTTAGGGACTAGCCTAAAGAGACCTTCAAACATGGCAAGCTGTCCCCTATACATGCCCTGAAAGTCAACTTTGTCTCACCCTGGGTCTCAGGGACCTCCCTCCTCACCCATGCCTACTCGCTAGCCAGCACTCCGGGACTCAATTTCCCTGCTAGCTTCTGCCCTAACGTCAACCCGACGCCACCGCCGCGGTGAAATCCCGGAGTGGATTTTGGGAACGTGCGCGCGAGCGGCGCACTGGGCATGCGCAAGCGCGGTCCGGGACGGGCGGGTCGCGGGTTCAGGTGGAGCGCGGTGACCGCCGGCGACCGCGGCTGCAGTTGCCACGCTTTGGAGGCTTCGGCCGCCGCTCGAGCCCGCCCGTCGCCTTGGCCCCCTTGTGGACTGCGTGCCGGCCCCACCACCTGGGCCCACTGGCCAGCCGCTACTTCTGGCGCCCAGGCCGCCGCAGTGACCCCGCCCCCGGGCCGAGGATGTGAGGCGGGCCGGGCGTCCCCGCACCAGGCCCGGGCGCCAGCAGTGGGCGTCTGGGCCGTGCCGGGCGATGGCCCTGCTGCCGGTGCCCCTCGCCTTCAGGGCCCGGGGCCAGTGAGGCTGCCGGCGGGTGTGGGCGAGCGGCCCTGTCGCGGCGCGGGCGCCATGGAGGGCGTGCTGTATAAGTGGACCAACTATCTGAGCGGTGAGTGGCGGGTCCTTTGTCTGAGCGGCCGGGGGCGGTGTGGGGACGTGCCCGTGGGGTCGGAGTCGCCGCCCCTCCTGACACCGCCGAGGCTGGTTCGGACCCGGCGTGTCTCCTAGAGCGGTTCTCCTACGGGACCGTGGCACCCCCCTTTGGTTCGGAGACGACTCTCCTGGGTTCCTGATAGCTTCTCGGAAAGCTACAGAAAGCCGGGTTTTGAGGTGCCTTGAAAGGCAAGTTGCCCCGGGGAAGAAGGCGCTGGCGCCGGCTCTGGGGTCCTTTGGGAGTCTCCCACATTGTAGCTAGGGAGCCGGAATCTCCTGGCTCCTAGCCAGATTTCAGTTGCATGCCGGCAGTCACCTGGAATTCCAGGGGTGCTCTGGTGCAAGCCCTTTGGCTTTGGTCACTGTTGGAGTCACCTGCGAGGAGACCCAGGGTTACCCGATTTCAGTTCAACAGTATGCCTGAGGTTTTTATTTTCTTACTGAGCATTTCCTTTGTTTCACAGACTTAGAAACTACCATAAAATAAATGCAAATATGAGCAGGTGTTTCCTTATAGTGCTGAGCAGAATGGCTTAAATAATAGTACCCCCTTTCCAGTTTCTGGAAGTACTTTATTCATGTCTTGGAAAGGTTGAAAACTATTGTTCAGCTGTTTAAGATGATTGAAAATGAGCACTTTTATTATTTGTGCAACAGTATTTAATTTAAAAAATAAAATATGCTGGAAACTATTAGGCCCTTCTTTGCAATTAAATGTTTTGTTTCAGAAAATGGTCAATTTTAATGGCGATATGTTTGAAACCAGAAATGTTCCCAGTATCTGATAAAGGAGGGGAGATTTTCCCACCTTTTCTTAGGATAATTGTTTAAAGGTTGTAGTATGTTGATGCACTGGGTGTTCTAAGGAAGATGAGTGTGTCTGAGAGGATCATTTGGCAGGTAAACTTTGAGGAAGTCACAGTACAGACAAAAGTCCACCTGTTGGGTGTACCCAGAATCTCTTCCCTTTGCATAATATATACTTAGTGATGAATTCTGTTTATTTTTCCTGATATCATTACTAGAGAGATTACTGGAGTGAGGAGAGGTGTTTTCTTTAGAAGACCTGGCCTCTGCTTCAAGGACCTCCATGCATGTCAGCATTTGGATTAGATGAGATGTGGTTAACTCAAAGCTGGGCTTCAGTTTGGTGAACACCAGAAGCTGATTAGCACTGTGCTAATCTAAGAGGAGGAGACGTGACCAGGAAATTTTCATTTTGAACTCTTCCTAAGCTCTGAGATATGTGGATCTTATGCCCTTGAATCAAATCTAGTTGCTGGTCCTTGACCCCTTTCCCTCACAAAAGTTTTTTTTTCTCTTTTTATATATTTTTCTTTCACTCTCAACACTTCTTTCTTCAGACCTTTCCTTCACCTCCCTCTCCTTTTAAAACCTTATTCTCCTCCTTTCTCTATAAAAATTGAGTTACTTAGTACAATACCTATTTCCTAACAGTGAAATGCCTTTAAATTTTTCCCCCCAGATGGTCCTTGTGTATCTCATTAAAACACAATTTCTCTACAAGAATCTTTTGGAATCTTGTCACATCACATGCATATCATCTGTTCTGTTGGAAAAGAGTCCATATTATCAGGTTTTAGGGTGGAAACTTTAAAGGGGCGCTGGAGCCATTGCCAGAGGTAGATGGGGGAGGTATACACTAGGCAAGTGCTCTATCACTGAGCTATATTCCCAGGCCTTTTTATTTTAGAGTCAGTGTTTTGCTAAGTTTTCCAGATTGGCCTCTGATTTTCCAGCTCAACTTCTGGAGTAGCTGGTATTATGGGCATCTGCTATTGAGCCCAGCTCACAGACAGCTGTCTATATTATACTGCATGTTCCTTTGACTTACATGCCATCTTCTTCTGCGCATGCTGTTCATAGAACTCCATCACGCCATTGGCTATTTTTCTGGATGTTTTATGGTTCAGCGCATTCTCTTTCATTAGGAGATGAATTTCCTTTGAAAAGGATTGGTAATAGCCTAGAAGACCATATTGGATTCTTGTTTCCTCCACCCTCCTTTGCTAGTTGGTCTCCTAAAAAGAGCATGTTTGTCAATAACAAACTTTGATGGTTATATCATTACTTTTTCTTCTTCTGAAGCTTATTTTTAAAATTACCCTTTTTTCTTGTGACTTTGCACACAGTAACTTTAAACATATATATATATATATATATATATATATATATATATATAAAATGTATGTAAATATGTATGTAATCCAAGTTCAAGATTATGTCCATTCTGAATTTTTTTCTCCAAAAGGAGTTCATAACCTATTCCTTTTTTAATATAGTTTGCATATTTGGTATGTGTATGTGTATATATATATATAACATTATATAATTATTCCCTATTAAGATATCATGTGGATAGCTTAATATGGAATACTTTGTGTCAGATTGGAGTGGAGAAGTTAAATCAGTTTATCACTTGATACTTTAAATCCTCCTCCCCTTTTTTTGTGGTGCTGGGGATCGATCAAACCCAGGGCCTTGTGCATGCTAGGCAAACTCCATACTGCTGAGCTATAACCCCAGAAACTGTTAATTTTATTCACCTCGTATGGGCACTTTGCTGGATATTTTGCTAGGATCAAGGGAAGCTTCTCCCCTCCTTGAGCTTACATTCTGGTGGATAAGAAAGATTTATTTATCGGATAAGTGATTGGAAGCATGTCTAAGTGGGTGTGATGGGGGCTGGGGCAAGGAGGCTAGTCTAGGTTGTTGGGGAAGACTGCTTTGAGTAATCAGATCCTGAAAGACAAATCAGGCTTGCTAGATGGGTAGACCAAAGCAGAACTGCAGTTGGAGGCTATAAGGAAGAACTTTCTAGGTATAAAAAATGCCAGTGTGAAGTTCCCAGACCAGGACAGAGATCAGTGAATTTGAGGAAAGAAAAGTAGACACATCTGATTGGAGAACTGAGAAGAGTGCAGAGACTACACAGATGCTGGGTGTGTGGGAGGCCCAATATTATGGGGCCTCATAGACTGATTTATATATTTTGGTGTGATTGTCTATATATATGTGTGCATGTGTGAGAGAAAAGTGGTAAGATTTAAACAAGTTTACTCTTTTGCAGTGTAGAAAGTTTTCTGGTCATATCTTTGTATCTCTCCTGCTGTATTTATTTTGTTTTGCCATATCATAGTTATTTTGAGTCTTTTGAACTAAACTTATAGGTATTGATTACTGAATGTTAGAAACATTAAGTCCCAAGAATGGCATCTAAATAGTTTGCATGAATGTACTTCTAAAGTGAAGAAACATAAAATGTATTCTCCTTTTTACTCAGTTGCTAGGCATATTTATGTACCCTGCAAAATAAGTAAATAAATAAATAAAGCTTCTTAGCCATCTGCCCTTTGAAGGGCAGAATAGTGGGTATTCTGGATTTAGTGTTGAATGTCTCTTCAGTTGTTAGAAAATCAAATCTAAGTTGCAAAGGAAATGAATTAAACATTTTACAAAACCCCATATTTTGTGACATATACAATATGCTACTGTTAGCTTCTATATGCTTGTTATTTTTATCTTTCAAGACCTAAAATTTAATCAAGGAGTATTATATGTGCAAGGTTATACATTAATGCTGTAGAGTGCTGGCCCGGGAGTCAGAGACCTGAAGTTAAATACCATCTCCATCACTGCCAACTGCAGTCATTTTACCATTTTGAGCTGTAGTATTTTCCTACATAAAAATAATAAATTTACCAGTTTATAATTCTAAAAATATTAAGAAACTTATTTGCACTTATAGTGTGCCAGCCACTATTCTAAACATTTTTCATATATTAACTAATTTGATCTTCATAGCAGTTTTGAAAAGCAGTTGTCTTTATCATCTCCATTTTCAAGTGAAGACATTGAGTCATAGAGCAATGGGATGAGCCCAGGCTTACATGATAAGTGCATCTAGAGTCAGAGCTCCATTACATAATACTTTTAAAGGTGCTTGCTGCTTGATCATTATATAATTCTTGCTGATGCATAAGTACCTATATTTGACCTAGAATATAAAGCTAGTTGGGAATAGGAGGTTGAAAGGAGTTCAGGAGTGAGGAAGGTTTTAAATGCCCAAAATTGTGCATATGCTTTGCCACAAGGAGATTTTTTGAGTTGTGTTTTTCACTTTGCAGTTTCAAGTCCCTTTCCTGCAGACAGAAGGGTTGCTGTTGAGAGCTCCAGCCAATTGCAGACTTCTTGGTTCTCCAGCAGGTTAGGGCACAAGTACATTGTAGCACTGCATTTCAGAAATAACAAAAGCTTGTATCATGCTGGCCAGATGGTTGTCATTGAGAAGGTGCTATAATTTTGCTTACCCCCACAGCTGGAGAAAGGTGACTGTTGGTCTATGTTTGTGCTGTGTAAACAGTGCCAAGAAGACATCTAGAATATGAGTGATTCAGAACAGGAAACTACAACTGGTCAACATTTTTTGTTGTAATTTTAGCATCTTTTTTGAGTTAATAATACAGGTATCATAAAATTGACCATTTTATATACACAGAGTATAAATTATTACCACATCCAGTTTTAGAACATTTTCATTTTTCTAAAAAGAAACCCTAATAAAACTCACTCACACACCTGTCCCTTGCTCAGAGCGGTCTGTAATCTGTTTGCATCAATTTGCCTCTCCTAGTATAAATGGAATTATAAAACATATATGTGGTCTTTATCTGTAGTTTCTTTTCCTTGGCTTTTTTTTTTGGTTCATATATGTTGGAACATGTATTAGTACTTCATTCCTTTTTATTGTCAAATAATAATCTGTTGTATGTATGTACCACATTTGCTTATCCATCCTTCAGTTTATGGACATTTAGGTTATTCCATTTGTGGAGCTATTAAAAACAATGCTGAAGAGAACATTTATGTATAAGTTTTTATGTTTTCATTTCTCTTAGATATGTATGTAGGTTAGAATTTCTGGGTCATATAGTA